TCGTGACAAAAAAGAGGCTGGACCGTAACCCTATCCTATCACAGTAAAAAAAGAAGTGAAAGGAATGTAGTACACATTTGACTAAACGGCATAAAATGCTTTATTTACGAAGCGCCCAATAGGGTTTTGCAGGTCCTTAATTAATCATTTCAGCCTGTAAGCGTCCACTGTTGAACATAGGCCTCCTCTATTTATGGATTTCCACTTCAATCGGTTTTAAGCTGGCTGCACCCAGCGAGGTCTCAACTTCAACTCAACCGCGACTTTGGACATGTCGTCAGACCATCTCGCGCGGCTCATAATGGCACTAATAAAATAGAAAAAAATCATTTTCATTATTCTTTACAGAAACTACAAGAGGACGTGAAACTTCTACAGGACTTTCTCAAATTTGGGTGTTATAAATACTTAACGGTGAAACAAGCTTTGCTTTTGTTTTTAGTATGCACTGAGGTGGGCTTGTGGTTTTTTCTAGGGGAAACTATAGGAAAAATGCATATCGTTGGATACAAAGTTTAAAAGTATTGTAAATACTGTGACTGGTTAATGTGGCTTAAATAATAAATTACATGAGTTAGTAAATGTATATAATTATTTAAATGTTAGAAATATGTAGGGTTCCTATTATTTCTTAGTTATTGTCGTGGGAATCTCTAAAGTCTATTCAAAAAGTAGGGAATTAAAATCAAATCGAAATTAAATTGCTAGCAGTATTAGCAACATTCTGTCGGTCAGTCATTATCATGGCGAATGTGAAGACTCGATTAAAATGTGTGAATCAGTTAGATTTCACAAATGGCGGGATGTTTCTAGCTAAACTGTCAATATTCGCTGTGTTGTAGCGTCGAATCCCACATGGGACAACTATTTATAATAATTTGGTATACATCTTAATATAAATATAAATTACGTTGTCACGTTGTATGTCGGTGATAGACTCGTAAAGTACTTAACTTACCGATTTTAATCAATATTGCACGCCGTGTTCAGTTTGATCCAACTTGAAAGATAGGATAGCTTACATCTCAATTTATAGTAGCAATATTATTTTATTGCAAATTATTTTTTTAAAGATGACAAAAAGTTATAGTTATCTGTATGTTCCATTTGATTTTAACAGATAGTGGTGAAATGTAAATTTATCGGCTGGATTGAGTAAGTGGCGCTATGTTAAAAGTCAAACTCAAAATGTATGGACCCGGTAGATTTGGCGCAGACGACGTTGCGCGGGCCAGCTAGTAATTTATAATAATAGATAAATTGTTTACAGCCTGAACTTTGTTTTCGTTATCATATTTGACATACAATAAGTTTAATATATCTATCTATAGATACCTATATATCCCGCTTGTTTTAATGGTTTACTTATCTACGTTCTTCTATGTAGGTACATAGACGAAATCAAAACATTGTTACTCCATACAGATTTGTTGCCTTCAATGACCTTGAAATACTTATGAGCAGTGCTGAACATACCTATACTATTCGGTATTATATTTATACATAAAATAAGGTAATTATGATGTTTTACCAGAAAAATTAAAGGAAGGATTAATTTTTGTATACTTGGTCAGGCTAAGGATTGTAAAGTACACTAAAATTCACAAGGCGCTTAAATTGCAGTTTTTTTACATTAGACGACACTCAGAGATATTTAGCACTAAACTGATCATTTGAAAACGTAATAATAAATCTCGCTTCGCAAAAAAAAAATTAATCCTAATTACGATGGTAGATCCATGCAGCAGCCTCGGCTGTTGCAAAAATGGGCAGACTCGTTCGGGTAAGTACCACGACCTCACAGAAGACCGGCGTAAAGTGGAAGTATAATACTTTCGTGTTTCGTATGGTGAGTGAGGTGGCTGGAGCCCAATTTTCAAAAGGTTTTCAACACATCTGCAACCCTCAGGTGTAGCAGGTGTCCATGGGTAGCGGTATTCACTTAACTTCAGGTGAACAGCCTGCTCGCTTGGCAACTTTTCACATAATAAAAAGCAAATTGAGAGTTTTACCAACCTGTAAGCAGACTAGCTGTAATGATATTTAAATGAAATATTTGATAGTATCATTGACTAAACAGATACAGTAAACGAAAATGTTATAATTTGTTGGTGTTTATATTATACTCACACACTGTATGTTATTGCTATTTTAAAGAAGGTGACAGAAGACCAGGCGGTTCCCCAAAAGTCGAGTAATTACTTCCGGGATTGCCACTGCAATTCCAATCCATGAGCGAGTTGGTCCTAGTTACCTCAGGCACAATATAAACACGAACTTCTCCGAACGTGCCTGCCCATAAAAGCAACAGCAGAAGCCGTGTATTCGCTTAACATCAGGTGAACCGTCTCCTCAATAACTGATTTTTTTTTAGGTTTCGAGAAACGAACACGACGGTGTTTTGAAATAATTTAATTCTTCCAACTGAATTATTTCAACATAACCTTAGTTTTGTAATAGCTAATATGTGATGAAATTGAGTTAAACAGCCCCAAAGTACACTGGTGCAAGCACTATGTACCTTTCCTCAAGGTTAGTCAGATTATTTCTAACCAGGACAGTGTTCGTTAATAAGTATCTTCGTAAGCAGGTTCATCGAATCCAATTCAGTCAAAGCAGTTCTCCACAATAAAAGTCTGATCTTGACTTGTGCCTAATTGACCATCCTAGTCATTTATATAAGCCAAAGCTATGTAACATTACCTCTTCAGGCGACGTGAATGATTGAACTAAATTAATGTGAACAAGAAAGATCGCGAGACAAGATGTCTGACGAAGTCAAACAACGTTGCCTAATGTCACCTGACATCTTCAGCAAGAAATGTCATGGGACATTTTTATCGATGTGACTAAGCGGATTTGTAACATGGTCAGATTTGTATTACTGAAGTCAGTTTATCCTGGGAATGCCATAAATCATGAGAAGTCGCAGTTCAGTGTTGTGCACCTTATGTTTTTCCTTTATATCTGTTTACTTTTATAAATACCGCAAAACTCCGAGGCTTTATTATCGTAATCTAGTAATGGGGACGCTAAGTTCTAATCAATGTCATTTGCTTTTTTGTGTACCTAAATATAGTTTACTGTTAGTGGGACGGCTTTGACAGCTTCGTTGAAACAGAAGAAAGGAGAACAGGAGAAAGAATGTAGCTAGTGCACAACGACGATACGATGACGCCATTCTGAGATCCCTGTTAATGATACGAGCAAAAGGCCTCTCGAATGAAGGTTTGAACCTGGGCTTAGATTATCATATCGGTTTGAACACCATTCGATGCCATTTCTTATGGAGAAAAGGTGTAAACGAGCAGAAGGCTCACCTGATTGTAAATCATTACCGCTGCCCATGAACACCAGCAACATCCGAGGGCTTACAAATGCGTTGCCGGCCTTTTAGGGAAGAATATGCTGTCTTTTTAAGATTGAAGGCCTTTTGCTAATTTTTCCAATATCAATATATATTTTTTTGGTAAATGTAAATAACTTTAACTCCAGCGTAGTTCAAATCAAATAAATTTGAAACGATAGAGAAAAATCACTTATGAATTTATCAACAAGCAGAATTCGGCGGTCGCTTATAGTTTTCGAAAAAATAAATAATGAAATAGTGTGATTTTTACTATAGAAATTCGCCATTTTTTTGTTGTTAATCTAACCTAATCTATCCGAGTCGGATTCGCTCTGTGTCGGTTCTGTGATTCATTAAATTAAAAAAATCGGAATATCGATACGTGTATGATGTCGCCCGCTTCCTATATTTATCATGTTGGCAGAACTGTGTATTGAGTTTTTGAAGTCAAAGAAATAAAATGGTGGATTTCTTAGTACAAGAAACAAGTTTTAAATATTTTTTTTTTCTCGAAAACTAAGCGACCGCCGAATTCTGCTTGTTGATTAATTCATTAGAGATTTAACTCTATCGTTTAAAATTTATTTGATTTGAATTACGCCGGAGTTAAAGTTATTTACATTTACCATTTTTTTTACAATGAAATGATATTGTTTTCTAATAACTTATTTTAGTGATGAAGCTATCTTCTATGTTTTGGCCATTAATGACAGATTAAAACATTTTATCTGTTAAGTAAGTGACAGCTGGTACTAAAAAACTTTTGAGTTTGACTTTGACATATTTAATACGTCATTCGTGCAAGATGGCAGTGAAGGTGCAATGCGGTGTTTCCGCGGAAACGTTTGGACGAGAATTATGATTCAAAGGCAGAAAGAAACTTTTAAAAAATGATATTAAGTGTATCTTGTTAGTATTTGTGTTAAAAATTATCCTACCTTGAAATTTCTCTCTCGTTAATTAATAACTGTTTATTTAATTAGTAATGTTGCGGCGAGTTAACTTTTATTCAATATGTATCGCGTTTGGTCTCAGTGTTCTCCTAATTCTTGCTGGAAGTCGATATACAGATAACACAAATTACCGTCCGCCCTCTGAAAACCGTAGAAATATCAAGAACGTTTTAAAATTTGAAGATGCAGATGATTTACTTCAACCAGTACCGACAAACCCATACGACGGTTCTCCGAATGTTGAAAAAATCATCGAAAAAACGAGATCAAAAATTAAGTTTGAATTATGGAATTATAACTATACCTTATCTGGAGTGCATCGCCTTGAAGACTTTCTTATAGATTCTGGTGGACGACCTTTGAGGAGTTTAATTATTTCCACTTGGAGATCAGGGACAACTTTTCTTGGTGAGATTCTAAATGCCATGCCAGGAACTTTTTATCACTATGAGCCGCTTTTAAAGTACGAAATTATACAGATTAGAGGTCCTCCATACGCTGAAAAAGCTCTATCAACTATAAAGAGTATGCTGAAATGTAATTTTGATGGGATGGAAGATTACTTTGAGTATGGTAAAGGCCACTTGCACCAATTCAGCCATAATACTAGACTATGGGACCACTGTAAATTTAAGAAAGAACTGTGTTTTGATTCTGAATTTACTGCAAAGTTTTGTAAGCTGTTCCCCTTTCAAAGTATGAAAGTTGTTCGTGTAAGATTACGTCTCATTGAAGAGATTTTGCAGGATAAAGAGTGAGTATTGATAAGAAATTTAAAACTATTTAGTTAATTACATTTTTATTATTATACTATATTAAAAATCTGAATCCATAATTTTACACTTTCTATTTGCTTGTTATTTATTTTCATGTTAAGCTTGTAAAACATTTTGAAGAATAAAGAGTTAAAAGTATTGCTAAAATAATTGAACAATACTCTTACAATACTTCCGCAAAATTATTCCTAATGTATCCTATTTAATAAAAAAATGTTTGTTTCATATATTATCTTAGCCTACAAATCATTTAAATCATGTTTTTTTTATTGATTTAGTTTACTTAAAGACACCATAATATCAATGCTATAAGATGCCACACAAAGAAAAGTTACAAATACAAAATATCTGTTGTTGAAGAAAATATTTATTGACATTTGTCTTACAGGCTTAATGTTAAAGTAATATTGTTGATTCGCGATCCTCGAGGAGTGATGCAGTCAAGGCAACATCGTAACTTCTGTCAACCGTCACCAGATTGTTGGAAGCCAGAATTGCTTTGTGCTGATATGATCAGTGATTATGTGGCTGCTGGACGGTTATTGCAGCAGTACCCAGACCGTCTAATGTGAGTATAATTATATATATTTATTTAATGAAATTAACTTACTATTTTGACCTAGGCTGAACTGTAAATTACTTGTACTCATATAATTTGTGAGAAAAATTTATGGAGTGCCTGGTTTACTTATTGTATCTGCATACATAATAATTATCTTTTTTTAAATTGCTTCTAGCAAGTGGCATATCTTTTTAAAAGCAGGCTTTTACTATATGGTAATTAACACCTTACATGACATGATTTAATATAAATACATAATTATGACACTATGCGGCTGTAAAATTAAAGTAACTGAGGTGCTGCTCTACTTCAGTAAAATGTCACACATCTATTTCAATATCTATATAACTATAATATAAACATAATTTATTAAAATTAAAAATAATAAGCAATAAAAATGTATAATTATATATATGCAAATGGAAACAGTTATAGGTATAAGGTAAATAAAAAAAGGAACATAGTTTATCTGTGGATATTGAATTGGGTACCCATTACTTTAGTGGTAATACTGGCTGTTGTGCTAATTAAAATTAATTGGGGTCCTCTAATACTGGTTCACAATTCAGTGAATAACAGTAATCCAACACTAATAGCTGTTATACCACTCTACATACATAGATGATAAACATTCGAAAACTGACACCCTGCAGCAAAGATGACCATTACAAATTTTCTTAGAGTTTAAAGTAGTCCATTTTCTATGCTAATATAAAATATAACTTTAAATTTCCTAGATTATTTGTATATAACTTCGTAAGTTATCGTATCCATATTTTTCTTCTAATGGAACCTATTTCATTTATATAAGTGCACACCTTCCATCAATAACATTAGTCTTGTATGAATCTCGGCGAAAATTAGAAGTCGCAAAATTTTAAATCAACGCGGACGTAAAGCGACGGTGGGACATTTAGGTTGTTGTATGGTGAATGCCAAATAGAAGAAGAAGAAGAAGAAACGTTTATTCACGGTCTAAGCACAATAGATACATAGAAAACTTAAAAATAATAATGTAACTACACATTATGTAAAATCGCGGAATGAAGGGGTTGGTGGGGGTAGTTTAATTAATTCAGGTTGTCAATAGTAGCACGACTCATTAACGGTATAAATACCTAATTTACACCTAATCGGGTCATTAACCTTTGAGTTATAGAATAGTGAACTAATAATTTCTTGTATTTACGCGATTACACATTACTAAATGAAACTATGTTTACGGATTTATCGCGTTTATTTTGGTTTTAATACCCGTCGTTTCGAACCCTTTACAGCGTTCATGGTCACGGGACAGATTGAGGCGTTGGACATCTGAAAGTCATTGTTAATCCGGGCTACCGCTAATTTTAATTATTAATTTTGAGTTGATCTACGCAGAACATGCTAATTTTATCTTGTCTTGCAGTAGTGGTTCGTTTGGGCCTAGATTTAATTTTATTAATAACAGGATCCCAAGCCGATGGTAGCATCCAATCTTCTTCTCTATTGAAATTTGGGTATTTTTTAATTTCAATAGTCTCACGAATCATCCTTGGAAGGAATCGGTGTTCTTTTCTTCTAGGAACGATCTGGTGTCAATCAAACCTGATATAACAGTTGGGGCGATTGAAAGTGTGCTCACATACTGCAGACTTATTGACTCTGTGTTTTTTTAAGTCGGCTATATGTTCCTTCAAGCGGGTTTTAATAACTCTTTTAGTTTGACCTATGTAAGAGAGCCCACATTCACAGTCAAGCTTGTACACTCCTGGATCTTGCAGAGGGATATTGCACTTGACAGACGGTAAAAACTGACTAATCTTCTTCGGCGGCTTGAAGAATGTATTAATCGAAGCTTGCTTCAAAATATAGCCAAGCCAGCCTTGTTGGTGACTCCTCTGATATATGGTAGAACAGCAGGTACTCGCTCCACTGTGGCTGGTTTCACCTTGCACTGTGACGTAGGCGCGGTGCTCGAAGCTTGTTGTCATGCAGAACTTGCTTGACATGTTGAAGTTCAGCGTCACAGATCCCTTGTGCTCTCTGAAACAAAGATTTACCCACGGTAGCTAACTGGGATGGATGGCAGTGAGAGTCATTAAGGTATCTGTTTGTATGAGTTGCCTTCCTATACACTGTGTGACCTTTTTGTATGTGCTTTCATCCAACAACAGTTCTTCTATTTTTAAATTATAATAAGACGTTTTCATTACCGCCGTAGCATTTCCTTTATCTGCGCGGAGAGTAAAGTTAATTCTTTGTTTTTGCGTAAGTTGTTTAACGCGTTAAATTCGTCTTAAAAATCAAAATCAAAATATATTTATTCAAATAGACGCTTGCGCGCTCTTATGAATCGTCAAATTTTACATCAAAGATTATGTGTATAGGTTCGTAAGGTACCACCGGTTCGGAAAGCGGTTTCTGTTGAGAAGAGACCGGCAAGAAACTCAACAGTTGCTCTTTTTCAAAAATATCAGGGTACAATATACAGGTATAATAGTCTTATTCTAGCCTACGTGAGTATCAACAGTATTAACTCCACACATTGGCGTCGTCGAGATATTCCGAAATGGTATAATATGCTTTAATCATCAGTTGATTTTTAATTTTACATTTAAATTGGTCAAGCGGCAGACTTAATATCGACTGTGGGATTTTATTATACATGCGTACACTTTGCCCCATGAACGACTTATTTACTTTTTGTAGACGAAACAATGGCGTAGTAAGTTTGTCCTTATTTCTAGTGTTTATTTTATGTCTGTCACTATTCTTTAGGTAATAATTAAGGTTATGACGTATATACAAAACATTACAATAAATGTATTGAGAAGCAACAGTGAGTATATTAACCTCTTTGAAATGATCTCTGAGTGAATTCCGGGCTCCGATATTGTAGATTGCTCGGACAGCTCTTTTTTGAAGAATAAATATAGTATTTATATCTGATGCACTACCCCACAACAAAATGCCGTACGACAAGATGCTGTGAAAATAACTAAAGTAAACAAGTCTGGCAGTGTCGATGTCTGTTAGCTGCCTAACCCTTCTAATCGCAAAAACCGCGGAGCTCAGCCTATTCGCAAGAGATGATATATGGGGACTCCACTGGAGCTTTGAATCTACTGTAATTCCCAGAAATACAGCAGACTCAACTGGATTAATGGGTACGTTATTTAATATTAAACTAAAACTTTTCCTTCTTATACTGGGAAGGGTAAAAAGAATACATCTGGTTTTTTTGGCATTTAATACCATATTATTAATAGTAAACCAGTGGAGGATATGTGAAAGCGCACTATTCACGTCGTCATAATTTAATACGTTTCGGTCAACTTTAAAAATAAGCGATGTATCGTCAGCAAACAGTACAACATCACACAACCCACTGGCATAAAAGGGGAGATCATTAATATATACTAAAAATAATAATGGGCCCAAGATTGATCCTTGTGGGACTCCCATTTTCATCTGGGACCCAGTGGACCTTAGGAAGGTTAGATTTCGGCACCGAACTTCGACGTAACAAAGATGAAATATCTTATCGTATGCCATCTAAATCTTCCTTGACAATGTTGTTTTTATATAAACAGTCCTCAACCCTATAGATTATTTCTTCATACGGGATTTTTCGGCGTTATTGCGAAATTTAAACCTTTTGATAACATTTTCACGGTAGATTCATCCAGTGTTTGTTGTGACAGATTATAGACCGCGTGAAATCTATTTATTACCTGTGTCTGTGGTTAACCGCTGCGTTTCGTTCGTGCATTGTGATGATGGTTTGACATTTGATTTGTTGACTAATTTTTGGTATTTTTCAATAAGTTTATTTTTGCATTGTTTATATTTAGTTGTTTAGCGCTGATTTAATGTGTCCTTGCAGTTTTTGTAATCAAATGTCGTTAAAGCCCACTGGATGAATTGTCTATGGCAGAATTTATGACGCATGGATCGAATCTGTTTTGGCGAATTACCCGACGTAACAATTTTATACTGGCCTGGTTCCTCGCGTTTCCCCGAATGTCCTTCTTGGATGAAATTTTGACACACGTAGGGATGAGATTGTTGTCTAGGCTTCTCTTCAAGAAATTTACAGATGTTGTATATCTTGCGCGGTTAGTCTTCAGATCTTCCAGACAAAAATAAAAACGCAATATAATCCGTAAACAAGTTTCATTTAATCTTATCCTTTAAACGAGCAATTCTTGTATATATACATACAGCGTGTCGTTACCATCGCGACAATAAATGAACACACGTCTAACGCTACTTGCCAATAATCATAAAAAAATATTAACGTTAAACAAAATCCATAAATAAAAAAAAAATTCAAACAAAGTAATTAAGTAAAAAAGAAACAAAATTTGTAACACTCGCGTCACAGTGTCGTATTACAAGCCTCTCCTTCTAACAGTATGTTTTGTCTCTTTCCAATTCATTCAACCCATTCATATGCTTTGTGACCTTTACAAATGAACTTTACGTTACGCTTTTATAGGTAAGGGTGTTCTAAAATTCTTTGTTTTGGAAAATTTAATAACTCTGTAAATATTGATGTTTAAAGAATTTAAATGTTTAATACAACTTTAAAAAGTTATCCCCTATATGCGTGTTCATATATTGTCGCGATGGTAACACGCTGTATATATAATCGGAAACTCGGAAACGGGTCCAGCGATTTTCATGAAATTTAGTATGTGATGATTCGCGAAAAATCGATCTAGCTAGGTTTGGTTTTTAGAAAATGTCCTTTTATCCCTGTTTTCAGGGAATGAAAAATATCATTCGAATATGACGATAAATTTTGAAGCAAAAAAAGTAATAGCTCCGTCGGGAATCGGGCCCAAAACAGACGGCCGCGGTTCGTATCACGATCATTTACACACTTATTTTTTTACTATTTTTCGATTTCAGATCATTGCTTTCTTTATTTTTTATTTTTTGTCGATCCAGATGATTTTGTTATTCTTTTCCCTTTTTTTTTAAAGTTCTTTCTTTTGTAAAAAACACCAGTTCATATT